TTTTTTCAAATAGCTTCAATTTTTTTTCCTTAATTCGCTTTGTAATCATATTTTTATACATGCACCTCAAATGATCAGTAGATCAATAACGTACTGCCCTACTCTGTTATTGTTGAGTGTGCTGGATGTATATATTTTTTGGTATTACAGGTATGGGCGACATTGCATGTCTGTGATCAGTTGTACACAGTGAATGTGTAAATTGATGGGGGTCACTAATCGAAATAACAGTCGCATATACGAGTCTATGAATATCAAACAGAATAACTCACAACGTGGCAAATGCGCTGCGTATCGCCACTGTAAGCAAACGTGCTCCCTATAACGCTACATCACACAGCCACACAGCTTGTCATAGTATTTAGTGAATGCGTTTTGTTACAGTGACTAGTAGGACATGTGCAACAAAAATGTCAGCGGAGTGGCCGAAAGGAAAAGTTACACATTCTGGTAGAATGTGCGAGTGTTAATCTCAGCTGAAGATTAGCATAGTCTTCCTTAAATGTGAATTTATTTCACTATTTAACTTCAGAGGAAGTGCTTATATTAAGGTCATTTGCAGTTACTCGTGTATAATTGGATTCCCATGATATTCACACTATGGTTTTATTTGTTTGTGTGTGTGAAAAAAATATGGCCACTAGAATATCTTACGTGTAAAATGGGATAAATCCATAAAAACGGTGATGATTGAGTAATTGAATAAATATCCTTCAGTAATACATAGTGAAAAAATAAGATATTATTACACCCAAAGAATATAGCATATGTCAATATTTATAATTAGGCAGCACTTTTGAAAAAAATATGCTTATAAAATGTGCACCCGATTAGACAGCTTAAAGTAATACAGCTTGAACAAGTTTAACCTAAATCCCCTAATACATCAGCATGGTAAAATGTACAGATCAAGAATACATTTTATTTTATTTGAATAGATACATATTTTAATCTTTTGTAGTGTATATCACTCTAGATTAGATACGTCACAATCCCAATCGTCCCAGAATAGCATAATTAATTCCACTCGACAAGTCATACTCAGTCCTTATTCGCTGTGAACAATATTGCTCTATAGTTATTTAATTTCTCTGGATGATTCGATTCTCTCTGACACATGTTTGCTGTCACTGAGCATTAATTATATCTGTTTTCAGGGTTTGGTTGACCTGCCATCATAAACAACAGTGAGGTCGTGTAGGTATGTCATTTTTTTCTATAATTATTCTTGTTCAGTTTAGTTCACATTGTCATTTCAATGTTTGTTTCTGCTGTCGTAATAGATTTTGGATTGAATTTAGAAAAGCATAAGCTGTTTTGACGATATTTTAAAATTCTTAAATTTTTTTAAATAAATCAAATACATTACGAAATGCCATTCTCTCTTGCTACTTTATACTTGCTACGTCACAGCTAGGAAAACAACAAATGTTTATTTCTAGCTATCTACATGTAGAATATTCCCTCATTGAACGCTTTAATTATTTAGTTAACCCATTCGTTTATTTGTATCTCCAATTTAAAATTTTTACTGAAATACATGTTTGCCAACTCATGTTTTCATCCAACTTAAATATGCAAAGCACAACAGGACGTAAATATATCACGCAAAAAGTGAGGGTTGCTAGTGTGCTAGTGAAATACACGAACCTATATAATATTTGACTTGTAAAATGTGTGTTTTATATCTGAGTAACACACAAGGCAACAACTCTTCAAAACATACCACAAACGTCGTCAAAGCTACAAGAGACGTGGCTAGGAAATTGTAGTGAACAATGGTGCTGTCACCTGTCATCAAAGAATGCCCTCTATAGGCCTACGTAATCTACACTAACAAATGAACCTTATACAACGTTTCACCTACCTCGGCCATAAATTCTTTTTTGACTTAAACAACGCAGATCATGACAACCGGGGACCAGGTTTCTATCTGCAATAGTACATGAGATAATACAGTTCTGCATATTAATGGTCATACATGTGGTCATCTGGTATTGCAATAAAAATAAACACAGCAATAACGAAAGGATTTCGACCTATGCATTGAATTTGCATAGAATTTGCAGAATCCAAGTGACAAAAGTACTAACCTGCAGTGTTAATTATTGGTACGTCATATCGATAATTGCTGTAAACATGAACTAAACTACTTGATAATAATCTAAGATCAGAAAAATAATACTAAAAATGGGAGTCTAATGTTTATATTTATTGACACAAGTATTTGCATATTCATGAGCGTCTTTATGTTGCTACGTCATCAGTTTCTTCAACTGTACACGTCTATTTTATCTTCTTGAATTATTTATATACTTTCGTTTCTGTATTGGAAAGTTCTTCCACTGGTGAAGCCAGCGGACCAGGCCGGAAACGATGTGCTCGTTCGCTAGCTCAAAGTCCAGATAGAGATGAAAACGATCCTCGGATACGGGGAAGAAGTTCCAGAGGCCATGGCCAGATGATTTCATCACCCAATACATCGAAGACAACTAACGATGGAAACAACCTATCTACCTTGGGAGCTTCGAATTTACGAGCCTTAGATATCACAAATTCAAAGAATTGGAAAGTACATCTCGACATTGGCAAGCACAAGACACAGTGTCCACCATATTGCGAAGTAATGCTGATTAAGGGCAAAATGTGCGTGAACTGTGGAGTTGTACTTTAGCGCCTAATTAGTACTAAACACATCGTAGTTTACAGCCTCTGCTGTTTTCTACCAGATCCGGACAGCTTCCGCTGTCAGGGAGTTGTAGCTTCTGCAGCTTTTATCGATAACACTGTTACCTCACGAAGCTTACAGCTACATAACCTACCTACTTGACGTAGCTTTCAGCTACAATGATCGACCTTCAGCTTCCGCTGTTCATTTCTCATAATAATTTACAAACATTATTGCTAACGTTTTACAAGTCAGTATTTACTGTTTTTTGCTGACTGTTTTGTTTTTTGAGCTTTTCAGATTTGCTGTACTTAACTTGTCTTTTCTGCGATAGTAGTTGGACACTGCTAACCGTCTCACTAGGGAGCTCGCTGTGGGACTAGTCTTGGCAAGGTAGCACTCTTTGTTCGGCAGATTTCAGCTATGCATTTCAGACTGTTTGTATGGTCCCAGCAGCGTGCCCCCCCCCGTTTGGCCAAATATAGCAAATATATGTGATTCATTGTCATATGCTTATTTGTGCTATATGCTTGTGAACTAGTTTGAACTAAAATATATGGTAATTTTTTGATAAAATGTGCCATGCTCATTCGTACAGTGATGTTTAGCCAACCAGATCTACTGAAATTACCTTACCTTTACTCAGTTTAAAAAAAATGAAGTAATTGTTGAGCAAACATGGTGCTTACGATTTTGTGCCAAGCTTCATAAATTGAGATCAATGTTACCATGGAGAAGATCTGTTATTATATTGCTGTAAATCCTTAAACCCGAAATCCATGGAAAGATATTAAATTCATTTCTCATGAACAGTGGTGATTTAAATTATTAAATAATGTTATTTATATATATACAATGCTTTATAATCATTTCAAAAATATTGAAATGATTTAGGAGTCGAAATACTAATGACATTAAATATTAATTCTATTACTATCATAGCCGAAATATATGTATCTGACGATTATTAGAATGACTCCTTCGAAAGATTGGAATTATGTTTCTCGTTTGCCAGTTTTGTCTTTACTATGTGCGGATAAAAAATATTTGTTTCATTTTATGGTCAATGTTTTATAATAATTTCCTCATATTCCAAACAACAAATAAATATTAACTAATATATGTTGGCAAGAGGATGCAGGAAATAACTTTTGATTCAGTGTGTTAATTTGCACATTAAAGACCTGTCACCCCACAACAAATGGTATGGGTGAAAATGTTTTAATAATATAAATAAATGTGTACATTACACAGCCTTACTAAATGTATACTCGGAGTAGGTATATGTGGTAACAAAATGTGATGCTGGAAATGTTGCGTTCTTTTTCTAACAATGGCTATTGGCAAACAATGTATTCCTAGACGTATTGTAGCAAGGAATTGCCAAGGGAAAGGGAAGTTAAAAAATGTGAAAATGAAGGAAAATACACGTAACTGTTAAAGTTTTTATTCATCAAACAGTTATCACATATAACGGAATAGCTCAGATCTTCGATAGTCTGAGAAATAGAACACTAAAAACTACTATTATTAATTAAAATTTCGGGGGGAAAACAGTTTGCGAGAGCAGAATGTGCCTCAGGATAATATTAACTGCAAAACCACAGATCATGTACAACTATAAACTGCAGTATGAGAACCTAATTACACAAAGATTCAAGATAGAAATATTGTTTTGTATGTGTACTAAACTACCTTTACAACACATATTTTACATGACTTGAATTCATTCATTAATAAGTGAACTTACCTTATCGCCTTTGCTCATTCATACTCTCTGTTTATTTGGGATTCCTGGTGACCAAGGTGAAGACGTGGGAGCATCGATACCAGTAAAGCATACTGTACATCTGACATAGTTTACCTTGTTGTTTATTCTGTGTTATATACTTCTTCTTTGTTTGGCGTTCTGCTCCCTGCTAGAATTGCCCTTCTAATCACTACATCCTAATCTATCTGTCTGTGAATCTGTTTATCAACCCACCATGGCTATGACAACGAGCAAAAACCTGATTGTTTCTACCTTGGCACAATTGTATCTCCTTTATGCTGCCCTGCTTAAGTTTGGCAGTTCAAATATCTTTCTCCTTTGTTGCCAAGATATTTGACACATCTGCGATGTTAGAGGTTAGAAACTACTGCAATATGAAACAAATGCTGAATCGTGAGAATGTTGTAATCCGATTATGTTTCATTTACTTATCTTAATTTATTTATTTATTTTTGTAGAAAGTTGATTGAAGACAAGTGCCAATATTCTCAGTGCTATACAACAAGCATACAAGGAACATTCCCACTTCAAAAAATCTTAGTCCAACCTTCTATCGCCATCATGGCCTTCTTTTCTTCTGTTCTTAAGAGATTAAGTCGTTTGAAGAGCTTGGAATCTGATAATTTGGAAACACCTATGAAAAGATGTCTTTCCACCTTCGATCTGACAATGATTGGTATTGGTTCCATGATGGGAGCAGGTCTTTACGTTCTCACTGGAACTGTTGCAAAAAATACTGCTGGCCCTGCAGTCATTATATCATTTGTTATTGCGGGATTCGTCATACTTCTCGCGGCATTATGCTATGCGGAATTCGGGGCAAGGATTCCCCAAACAGGATCGGCTTATACATACACATATGTCTCCATGGGCGAGTTTTGGGCATTTCTGATTGGTTGGAACATTGTTCTTGAATATATCATATCTGCTGCAGCTGTGGCGCGTGCATGGAGTGGATACTTTGACGAAATGCTTGACCACAGAATACGTAACTTCACTTATGAATACATCACAGGTGGACCATGGGATCATCCTCTATTGGCACAATATCCCGATTGGTTTGCTTTATTATTAATCATCCTTGGCGTGATTATAACGGTTTTGGGGGCAAATTTAACTTCTAAAATAAACTCTTTTCTTACTATATTAAACATTTGCACTGTTATACTCGTTATAGGTGCAGGTTTGAATTTTGTTAATGTATCCAATTGGAAAATTGAAGGTGGTTTTGCCCCTTTTGGCATTTCAGGCATAATGTCTGGCGCTGCATCGTGTTTCTTTGCTTACATGGGTTTTGACTTTATTACTGCATCGGCTGAAGAAGCTAAAAATCCAGCAAAAAGTATCCCAATTGCAATATGTACATCTTTAGCAGTTGTAGCTGCAGCATATATTGCTGCATCAGCAGTGGTCACATTGATGGTACCATATTATGACATTGTACCTGAAGCAGCATTTGTTGATGCTTTCCGCCATGTAGGGGTGAAGTGGCTTATGTACGTGGTGGGAGTCGGATCATTGATTGGCATGACTGCTACTTTTTTAACTGCTATGTTTGTTCTTCCACGTATCGTATTCGCAATGGCTAGAGATGGTCTTCTGTTTGAAGTGTTGGCTAAAGTTAATTCACATACTCATGTACCAGTAGTTGCCACTGTTACATTGGGTGTTTTAGCAGGAATCCTTACTCTCGTGTTCGATTTGGAATCATTAGTTGAGTTTTTGTCAATTGGTACTCTTTTAGCATACACCATAGTAGCTGCTGGTGTACTTGTACTACGATATGAACCAGCAGAGGCATTTACAATTGTCGACAAACATACAAATCAAGATACAATTGAAATGAATTTGAAGAAAAAAGATGAAACATCTCCATTGAATAGTGTAGACTCCCATTTACATGGTGGAGAAGTCAGGAAAGAGTTTAATGGTTGCAGGATTTTACGAAATGCTAGACCTGGTACTATACCAGCTTTTGCAGTATTTATAATGTCCATATTCATGTTTACATTAGCTGCTGTTATTGTATTCTGTGGTGACGCACTAGCAGAAGCAAGGTTCTGGGTTATTGTGATTGTGGTTATATTTGGATCGGTCGTGTTACTTTGTTTTTTTGTGTTATGCATACACTATCAGAATACGAGTATTGTGACGTTCAAGGTATGTGTTTTTTAGCCATTAGTACTTGTATGAGAATTGTTAAGAATATTTGTGGTGTATTTTAAATATTTTAAGTCGTAATTTATCAACCACTTACTTTTGCATTGACATATACTGTTCATTCAACTTTTGTACACATATATGTTTCAGATGCCGTTGGTGCCATTAATACCATCTCTGAGTATATTTTGTAATGCTATTCTTATGATGAATCTATCTTATATGACATGGATTAGATTTGCTGTCTGGATAACACTAGGTAATTGTTAAGTATTGAAAGGTATTAGAATCATATAATGTGTTCACAATGTGATTTGTAATATAGTACAGACATAGGTAATATTTTATCCAAAATATTAACTGCAACTCGTATCCCATAATACATACACACTTAGAAATTAATAGCAAAAAAATGAATTGTGTAGTATTATATAGTGACCAGTTTGTTATTAGCTTTGTATTGAAGGTAAAAATGGAAGATTATAATAATATTATTCATAAACGACTTTATAGTATGTAATTATGTTAATAAAATTAACGAGATTATTTATGTGAATTAACTTGTAACGATTGTTTTACATAATTTAACTATTTCGTCATTACATGTGTAGATCCATAATATTTAATCAGAAGTCAACAGACGACTTGACAACACTGACACATTGTTTTAAAATATATTACTTTTATTTTAATAAACACAAAATTTTGTGTTTCTTGAACTAAATCAAGGATTTACATATGCGATTTTGATTTGGCATAAAAGTTATTTTGTTTATAAAGTATAAATGACATGCGAGGGCATGTGGTAGCAGATAATACTTCTCTGCTACCAAATACCGTTTTTAAGGTCAATATAACATAAGAAATGCGCTGTTATATATCGATATATGTAAATTTCCAATTCTTCCAACTTTTATCCTTGTATTATACTACTAATGAAAGGCATACAAAGAAAATTATGAAAAAATAATACCACGAGTTTCACGGTTTTTGCGTTTTATAATTATTTCCACGTGGTTTGGTTTTATTCGTGTTAACTGGTGGGTGCGAATTTGCATTACAGCTCGTTGTATTTATAATCGTTTCTGGTGATTTAAATTTACTCTTGCATCTAAAAATCACCTTTAAAATGAAGTAGATATAATATAATAGGAATAACCATTACTCAGCCGGGAACAACACTTGATGTTGTCTTGCCCAGTCCAGAAACACATTCACCATCGCCATAGTTCTGCATTAAATGGTAACATAAACGTCTCTTTTTTCCAAAGTCTTTGTCGATTGAATATCTTAAAATGTCTGAAAATTTTTAGTTTCCTCTTAATTTTCCTGAACATCCACTACAAGCTAAAAATTATAGACAAAATGTAACAGGTGTGCCAATATATTTTTAGGTATGATGCTGTATTTCTGTTATGGAATTCGTCACAGCAAATTGGCCATGTCACTAGAAGAAGAAAACAATGATCTAAACCGTTATTATATAATGCCTGCCGAGTTCCGTAGACTTATGGCAACCACAGAGTGTGACAACACCAAATAATTATAGAAGCGTGTACAAGGATGAAGAGGAATCAAATGTTAAAAATAAGATGAAACAATTGTGAATACAACACTACAGATGGATGTATTATAAAGTGTTTTAACATCATTTGAACATTTTCGTACATGTATGCAAGTACAAAATTGATGACCATTATAAGATTAGTTGGTGTATCAAATATTACAATATCCATATAGTCACAGTAGACACTAACAAGCAATGATAAAGCTGTTCTTACTTTTGGTTCAAAGGTTTATTTTGTGAGAGGATGTGATATTCCATAATACATTGACCGCTACCAAATTAATTAATTAATAATTAATAATTTTTTTAATTTATTTGAATGTAAAAACAACCGTGTCATAGGAAAATAGGACTAATTTTAGCCTATTGATTTAGAAACATCACAAGGTAATAGACAAGTTTTGTGTTAATTTGGAAAACAATTTTTAATGAAGTGTAATAAATGCATTAGTTATTAGTGTAATACATGCTTTTTAGTGAGTCTCTTGACCCATTCGATATTGCCTCATATATGATCCTTAGCTAAATGCAGCAGTGTCAATTGAATGTGGTTGTATTTGGCATGGTTGTTATACATTGTGTTTTTACTGGTAACACCCTGAGCGTAGCGAAACGACCACTTGGTGTAGTCACAATTGTAGAACACTAGCGTTAGAACCCATCGGTCATTGGCGCCCACAGTATTTCCACGCAGATTCAGTGCAAACCGTAACCCAATTAGTAGAAATGCATGTAATCAGATTTGCCAACCCAAGAACCAACCCATGAAACAAAATTACATGAGCGCCAAACTTGTTACTGCCAAGTACAGTATAGTAAATTTTATTTGATATTTGACATGAAATCACGTAGTGAATACACAAATTATGCTCAACTGAACAAAACACAAGCACATATACACTAGTTCAAAATCATGGTAAAATAGACCTATCATTGCAAAATATCACACTTTAAGTTACATCAACACACGAGAATACGACACTGTTCAATTAGGAAAATGTCTAAAATAATCCCTAGCCCATTATGAAACGTAATTTATAGACCCCTTGGGTGCCTCACACTTCCGTTGGTACATTTCTACTATTTCAAGAACAATGATTCAAAATTGAGACGACGAGTCAAGTGGTTATACTCCTGGAGGCGTGATGCAGCGCACTACCGATAAATTAAAAGTTTGTTTTAAGTACAGCCACAGTCAGCTGACGTACAACTCGTAAAAAAATAAATGCGATTAATTTACCGCTATTTACTATATTGGGAAGCCATCTTGAATACGGCTTGAAACTAGATAAAGAGACAAGCTAAGAAATCGGGGGAAATAACATTCTTTCACAATCAAGCAATTCGGTCGAATTCTTCGTTTTTGTGTAGAAAATTCTTTGCAGTCGAACATCTAATTACACGAAGGAAAAATCCCTTGCATAAGAACCAGGGTATTTGAAACCAAATTATCACCTAATTTTAAGATCGTCGCTAATCGGCTCCTGAATTGGATTACGATTTCGGTTTCAAAATACCCGGGAAAGTGTTCTAGGTTTGTATGCAAGGGATTTTTTTCACGCAACATGTCCGCATATGGTCTACTTTTGTAAACGTAAAAAAAATATTTAAAAAAATAGTAAATGTTAAGCAGTAAAAAAAGAAGCTGGTAGGCCAAAGAAGCTCATTGAGGAGGGTCGGCAAGGGGTATTTTCCTAAGCTGTAATCAATTGTTTTATTTTCGTAATAATGTAATGTAAATAATTAAAAAAAAGTAAATTCGTAGACATGAGCAAGTTGTAAAATGCAATCAGCTATGGTTTTATTCGTCCATAATTTGTACAAAAATCCTAACATTATAAAGCATTTTCTACATTAAATGTCGTAATTCGCAATACTTGCTTTGTGCCCATTCTCAAGCTGAATAGAATGAGCTATGTCCGAGTTTTTAATATTCCTAGAAGTGGAAAAACAGAATCAGATTTAGAACTGGTTGTTGATAAATGCACCAGAGAGGCCTGATAGTCTCAGAACTAATATAAAATTTTGAAATTTCTGTGTATTTATTAACATACGTGCAGTTAGACGCAGGCAATGACAGAGTTAACAAAATATGAGGACGCCCTGCACGACGGAAGTCACGTATTTACATGTATGGCCGTACAGGGCAGCATGACCAATTGGTTCATATTTTTTAATTTTCGAATATCTTGGTTGTTGTAAACTGAACCCATAGGAAATGATGACATATTACATCATCAATTACGATGATTTTAGCAAGCATCTAGAAATAAATATAATGTGGACATATACACTTGTGTCAACAAGACCAACTCATTGCATGAGCCCGTGCATTAACAACACAGATTGTCGGCGGATTAATACAGATGGTGTCGAAAAGGGTCGACCAATCACAATTCGTCAATAGCTGAACGAGCGCTTTGCAGAATACAAGAGATGTTCGCCTAAACAACCTAATTAACTCGTTTGGATTTAGATATACCAGGGTATTTCGTGATAAAATTGTTGGATTTATAAATACAAGGGAAAACATGGGGTTGCTGACTGTGTGTGTACGAGGATATTATTAAAATGGATGACTTGAAGTCAGTTTTATTTAACTTAGCAAATCGAATGCACGGAGAGCGTATCAACTAAACATCGAAGATAAGGGGGAAATACACGTATTGTACTTGAATATCCGCCTCTCCGAAGAAATTATTTTGGAGCGATGGAGTGTTAGATTTAAGATTAGAGTGGGATAAAATGTCAAGTCTTTTCAAGATGTTTTATGTTTCTAGTACAGCAGATAATTAGTTTGAGAACTAGTAAAGATATATTATATCACTCAACAATTAAATAGAAAATACAGCATGCAGTATCATGAACAGTACTATGACAATGTAATGCAGGAAGTCACATACGATATACATCCTTTTATAAGACTAATCTAAGCTAGATTATTTTATTTAAGGTAACACAAACTATGAGTATCTTCAATTGCTGATTGATTTTTTTTGTGCGCAATTTCACCTGAATGGCAGGCATTGCGTATGAGTGCAGTAACATTACTGGTAGAAAAGAACACAGCTCAAACAGCCTTGAAGGGCGATGGTCGTGCGAGACATGAGACATATATGGGAGATAAGACGGCGAATTTTACTATTGCGTAGACAAACGAGTACAAACTGAGAGATTACGAAACTTTAATTAGGTATTTTTTGGTGGTTGGAAAGTTACGAAGTGTCGCCTGTGGTAATTAGAGCAAGTCGAGCCCTGATCAAAACTCGGGCTCGTGATTTCATTAGAAGATCGCATTGGATTGTAAGAAAAACATTGTGGGGAAAAAGACAAATGTTACGCCACACAACCGTTCATTAATTAGGACAGCACAATGTATATTTTCACGAAAGGATATTTTATTCGTGTTAGATGTTTTTGTTTTATTTGATTTAGATTTTAATTTTTTTAGTCATTAGAAAAGTACTTATTTACAATAGGTCCAGCATCAAGTACCTTCATACGATCAATACGTACATTGCAACTAAAACACGTTACGTCATATCGTAACTTATATTTTATGAAAACGCCCTCTGTGTTGCGAAACGACAACATTGTCAATATTACCATATTCTAATCAACAGAAAAACAATATATTGAAAATATTCCCTACAGGACGATGTTTACACAGTCCAAAAAAATGTTAGAACGAGATACTATTTTAAAAGAGGAACAATCAAGTCCGAAGTGTGCTAAAATATACAAAATTTAAGTAACGTATTAACAACATTTAAAGTCATTTTGTTTAAGAACATACTTTGTATACGATAGTATATTTTATTGCAAGTCGATACTGGTTTGGGAGACGTACGTTCTAGAGTCATGTGATAAAAAACTTCGCCGCTATTGTAAATGGTTCATTTAATTGTAATGACAGATGTGGACAGAGACAGTGCTGGTTGTACGCTTTTCAGAATGCGGTAGTCCGTCATTCACCACAGATCATATAGACTTTAAACAAAAATTATAAGCAATTATAATATCAAACATGCTCTATTAAATAACCAAATTTACATAATCAACTAACTTCGAATTATAGGAAATCATCGATACACTGGTGGTAGTTATTACCAAACTTGCAGGTGACTATATATCAATTTCTCTGACACGTTATAAAGTTATCGGAACAAAACCGGACTTCCTCCTATCACATTAGACACTTTGGCCGTCATTTGTTTAGTCCAGTTTATTTCATCCAATGATTCAGTGTACTAAATTTGCAGTCTCCTCCGAAAATTAAGCATGTCAAACATGTGAGAGCAAGCATGTAAGAAGCTGATGGATTCAATTCTCGATGTGTTGCCGCCTATACGTTAACAGAGATAAGCAACAAAAATAAGCTGGTAGACTGGTTGGCGATCCGCTGCGCTCAAAAAATAAGCAAGATGTTTTCGGCTGTTGCCATAGAAAGACATGAACGTGAAGCTAACATCGGTTTATAACTAAAACCAGGCCCCGAAGTTGGCAAAAAAAATTCAGTCTTTAGAAGTCACTTTACTTCATTACTAGGACGTATTCTGCTGTTATAATTATTATTTACAACCGTTTTGCGATTGTATTTCTAGATTTAACGCTGCATTTAGTCATTCAAAATTCAGAGTTGCGTGGGAAATACGTTGATTCAGTCGGCGATGGTGATCTCTTGTCATAACATTGTTATTACAAGACTGGTAGAATGTAATACATTTGGGGCGAAAGTATTCGAAAATCGTTTTTTTGGCTGATAACATGACAGCGTTGGGCCATGATTTTTGTTCAATTAGTGACAGTAAGACTTGCCTGTTAAGTATGAACAAAATCAGCCAAGCCAAACAAATCACAGGGGAGTTAAAAAGCCGTTGCTGGTGAAAAGTTACCCAACTTTAATGTCAAATTTTTCGGTAATGAAAATAGAAATGAAAAAACAAACAATATTAAATTTTTGCCCACACTCAACC